CTGAGTTCAATCCCCAGTTCCGCAAAAATAAAATAGAGTTAATATATGCCAATACCTAGCAAATTACCTGTCTTTCATGGGCATTCAAACAGCAACTATCATTAATTACAGATACGAAAAAGTATAGTGGAGCTCTGTTTGCATGTTAATTATTTTTAATTGAAGTCTTTATAATAGTTTTTGGTAAGCTCCATTTGAATTTAGAGGATCACTTCAAAATCATTAGTAATCAAGCAGGATTAATAGGCATTCACAAATCGCTTACAGAGCTCCACTTTCTGCCAAATTATTAGCTCTGAAGATAATCACTGTGTGGCTGACTAGTTCTTATAAAGCTAATGTTTCACGAGGAACAAAGATCTCTTCTCCTCTTGCATAAACAGCAGTGGCCTGCATCCCTGGAGCAGCTGAGTGTATCCTATGCCAGGCCCTGACCACAGCCCACATCCTGCGCTGGCCTGGCACCTCCAATTTTAATGTGTGTACTGCTAAAGCGAGCACAGCCTGGCACTTCCAAACCATGGCTACTCGCCATTCTACTACACCACCTCTGGATGCTCAGCTCTTGTCCTGCTCTTCTTTTGAAAGAAATAACTTCTCTCCTTCCCACTGTTGTTTCCACTTCTACTCCAAGCCTTGGATCTGTAAGAATCAGCTTTCTCATTAGGCATTCACAAATAATACCCCAAAGCCTGATCATAAAGGAGGAGCCCAAAACCGGCATCCTTCACAATATTGCTAGATACATGATCAGACACCAGACGGTTGGGCATTCCTGCAATACCTTAACAGTGCTGGAATCTGCAGCATGGTACTAAGGAAGTTAAAGTTTGAATGTAACCACTTTATTTAAAAGGTTTTTTCCTTTAATTTAAATGAAATAGGGTTGAAGTGAACATGATTTTGTTGACCATGTTCGTGAATTATAGATGCAACATGCATTGGTAGAATCGTGTGATGGTCTTTTGTGATCCTTAATTTTTACATATCCCAGTCTCTGTATGTATCTGCATAGACAAAAAAACAAACTCCTGCTTTACTTTTATTGAAGGGTTTCCAGGACTGC